TACAGCACTGCAGAAAAACAACTATACATCATCGCTATTAAAATGTTTGAATTTGAATATGGAAATAGCAGGGATTTGGAGATAAAAGTCCACCATCAATAAAATGTGGCTGTACACTGATAGTAATACGATCCAGGTTAAAGAAGTTACTGTACAGATACAACATTAATTTCAAAACACTACACGCTGAGGAGTGTCTTCATTTAAATCAGGACTCCTCCAGCTCCTTGGTCAGACCGTGCATTACTACGTTCACCACCACATCAGGGGAGATGTGGCTGTGTCTTTACATGGAGCAGAAACACGGGAAAGAAATGACAACACCTGCAACAGAGGGAACCACAACATTCAGAGAACATCCTCCATTAAGGCATACTTCCTTCTGAGCTGCCACTTGTGCAGGGCACCTGCACTCTTTCCCACTGCCCTTCCATGCAGCTGTCCAACCCCTGATATTAGGACAACAGAGTAGAAATTACAAGATGTAACCCACGATAACTAAACAGCTCAGCCATTTTGTTTCTCTTTTATTTACAGTGACAACTCTAAATTATAATTTGGCTTCAGAACAGAATGTCTTGGAAAATGCTGCACAAAGATCCTCATTAGCTATAAACTGCCATCATTTCACTGAGGCTAATGGATTTACACCTCCCTGTATCAGCTGGGGATCAGATCAATTTTTTGTGGGCTCTTAACTCTTCACAAGAGAAAAGCCTTGCTTTTTTCTTTACTGTTGGGAAAAAATTATAAACAGCTCTTCCTTTGGTATCTTTCTTTTTAATTTGTGTGGATTCTTTTTTAGTGTGCTTATATGTAAAGTAGTAACTTCTAACTGAGATGTTGTTAAACAGGGCCCCACTCCGAAGACTGTCAGTGCGGGTGAATGTGTTTTCCTGGAATATCTTGTGCTGTTTGCAGAATTGCATGATTGTGTGACATCTGCTCCACATCTCATACGTGGTCGACTGAGAAGGTACAATTGTGGCAGATGGCTGACGATGACTCACCTCACAGCAGTGAACACTGGTTTGCTTTCTGAGAAGTAACATCTTCATATTAATTTTGCAAGAGCCCTGCAAAGATGTGACCAGTTCACCTGGTTTGCTAGCAGGCAGTGTAAGTTGCACGGAGTGCACAGGGATGCAACAGCAACATTTTTTTCCATTATTGTCTTGACTGGGATAATTTTTAAAGTACAATTCATGGGCTACTATCAGATAAATCCAGAAATGAAAACTGGGTTCACTGCTGTACTGTCTAAATACTTGGCATCTAAGCAGCAAAATCTGTATGTCTGAATCAAACAGAGATCTAGGATTCCTATGCAAAGGAAAAACAGAAAAACAATATTCAGAAAAGCCATTCCCTTGAGTGAGGAATCAGCAATATCAGAGAAAAAGACATACCTTAAACCTTGCTCATGGTCTGACTGCCCTGTTCCAGGCTATTGGGAATGCCATGACAGTTCTTAGTCAGCAGACCAGAGCGGAAGGTCATTCCCAGCAATTCTTGCATCCCACAAGAAATAACATACGCCCCTGCTATACGAGAGCTTTGATCTGTACCTTCTCTGATGAGCCAAGTCTCTCTGAATTGCTAATGGCATTAATGTTTTAACATTACTGAAGGCATATGCATGACTAACAGCTGTGTCCCAAGGAAACTGATCTCATACCTTCAGTTTACAAAGAAACTACCCTAAAGTTTCCCAGGAAGGAAAGAGGGGAGGAAAAGGTGAGTAGAGAGGAGAAAAGGAAGATGCTGTCATCGCTCATTCTGATTCTTCCCATATGGAACAAATACTAATCAGGTGTGACACAGGAAGCAAGCAAGAGCAAGCAGGGTTATAATCCAGGATTTAAAGATACTAATGGCTCACAGTTCTCTTTCAGAGAGAATGCCATGTCCATGAGCACTTGGAGTCATGCTGTCTATCTCTCCAGCCCAATGAAAACTCCCTTCTAAAAAAAATGGAAGCACTTCAATAGAAAAGATTTAAAATACCTCCTTTCAGAAAAACCTATAACTCAGTGGTCAGAACGACAGCCACAGAAATAGGCATTCATGCTTCTAGAGACAGGGAGGGGAACTAAAAAGGAAACTGCTCCTCTTCCATCATGTTATGGGCACCAATGGACATGTTCCTAAAATACCTTCTGGGGTGGCTCCTGCTGAAGGGCTTCAGATACTAGAAAAACATGGCTGAGCAGCATAAAGACAAAATATTTAGACGTGCTTAAATTATCTATGCGGTTGTCTTCTCTGTACTGCTACAGTTTGCTATCTGCTAAACATAAAGGGAATTCTCAAAATGGCACTGTTGTCACTTATCATCCTTGAGAGCAACTTAAAACCCTAGCACACTCCAAACCTGCAAAAGCTGAGCCTCTCTCCCTCAGATGGTGCACAATGATGGTAGTTAGTTCACACAGAAAGGATCTTTGGGGCTAATACTTCTCTCACTGCAATTTTTATCATTCACATTCCACCAGCAACTGCTGAGTTTACACCATGGTGCCAAAAAGGTACATTAGAACTTTCTACCTGAGCTGTGCAGAGCTTACTCAGCTTGCGTGGTCCTCTGTGCTGCTGACACAGAACTTTAACAGATGGCCTTACAATACTGGCAGTTGTTTTGTGCTGTGCTAGTAATGAGGGGAAATTGTCTACACAGATTGTCTGCAATTCTGGAAAATAAATGAAGTATGAATCCATATTAACCTCGAAAGCCAAACTATAAGAAGTCAGATTAGTAATCTAATGATGTATGTTTTCTGAGTCAGTTGCTCAGTTGCTGCAAAATGGCAGTATTTCCCTTCCACAAGAGAAGTATGCTTTGCCACAGTGTTCACCAGAAACATCCATACAGACAGAATCTTTAGAAAGATATTGAAATATGTTAGGAATAAGCCCTCAGAACCTTCCTCACGTCATCAATGATCACGACCTACCAGCAAACATACCTTCACACACTGGATGTTTTTAAGATACATGAACAGTGAAGCAATAAGGTCCAATTTCATTTAACTGGTTCTATTTTTTTTTTTTTTTTCAGTGCTCAGCAGAATTCAAGGACACAACAGCTACTGTGCAAATGTTAAAATCAACAAAGATAAAGTAAGCTAAGTCATTCTATGATTCTATGTTACAGCCTCTTTACACTTTTCTTCTCCCATTTGAAAAGAGGTGGATGTATCACAAGATGAATTTTAATCTCACTAACTTCTTCTGGTGAGACTCACCCTGTACGTAAAACAACATTACTCTCCCTCCTTGTTTCTACATGGCTAAATTTTTCTCTTTCATTGTGCCAATTATCAGACATATCAACTGGGTTGAACTTGTAAACTGTGTAAGCAGAATAGTGCTTTTTAAAAGTAAAACCAATGATTTCCTTCACAAGTATAAGACTGCCATGAAATCTATATTCGTGCATTCATGTTACAATATATTTGTATAAATTTAGAACAGGGTTTTAGAAAATTGGAAGCCTTTCAGTGCAATGCTCACCTCTTCCAATTGCTTTACATGAAAGATAGCTGAAAAGATGTTTCAAGCAGATTTCAGAGACTCGGTGGTTCAGTTCCCATGTATTTCAATTATTCAGTAAGACAGTATGCCTGCTACCTTTTACTTTGTTACAATGTTAGATACATTGATATACAGATCCCTTAAGTACCATCAAAGCTCTAGAAGACCACAGAACCCTTAAAACATTAACATAAAAGAGCCCTTTAATTGCTAGAGGTACATTTCAGTCTTCTGCAGGGACTGAATCAAGGCTGTACTCATTTTTTAAAAAGTTTTATTTTATCCACTAGGGTTGCTTAAAAATACTGTTTTTGGAACTGGATAGTGTTATATGTTTGTGACTTTGATACAAGTGAAAAGATCTTTATCTGTGTAATGTTATTTTGTACTCAAAGACCTCTGAGTTTGAAGCTGTTAATAAAAAACACTACTACTACCAAATTTCAAATAGGTCTTACGTTTTCTTTTCTATTTTCCTCCCTCTGGTCCTTTGCCAGACTAAGAAGACACAACATACCTCCAGAAAGCAATTATACAAATGCAAGGCAGTCATTCTCTGAAAGCACGCATTATTTTTCATCACACACACACAAAAAAGTAATGTTAGATATTTAGTCAAAATGTAAGAACATTAGCCCTTCTGCTTCTTTTCCCAGGCTTAAACACTCTGTCATATATTTCAAGCTATGATCCTTGATGTAGCACTTCACAATGAAATTCCCAGGAAAAGAGTTGGAATACATGTTTTAGTACCAAGCACATCGTATCTTGGGAAGAGGTGTTCCCTTGCAGATGCAGAATATGAGATGATGTGATGGGAAAACCTAATGCCCACCCTCCTAGTTACTGACAGCCCTTCCGGTCTCTACAACACCTGGTTGTACTACTCTCTTCCTTGAGCCTCTGTTCACTGCAGAGACTGAATTCAAGCCCCACAGATCCATGGTGAACATTACCTGGTACAGACAGGTATAGACACCTACATATGTCAGAAGGTGTCTAAATGGTGTCTAATATGTCAGAAGGACGTGGCATGAAATGAAAGAAGTTTCTTGGGGAAACCAAAAGTAAAGAGAAAGTGTAGCTGCATAGGACTTACATTATACATGCCAACAATTGTCAGTGCTCTACCCAGGGAAGATTCAAGCACTCTTGGACTAAACAGTAATAGAATGATCTGCCTACAGCTGTGAGCAAAGGTCATTCTCAGTGGTTTGGAACAAATTTGGTAGGCCTGCACTAAAACAAGGAATTCAAAACTACAAAATTTCCACCAAGAAAATACACTGGTTAGTGAATATGGATTGTTGCTCTGCAGCTTGTGTCCAAAGCTGGACTTTACTCAATTTTTATATGATTAAAAGCGGTCAAAACGCAGTTTGCTTGAGTAAGGTCTTTGTGATTTATCTGTGTTCTCTTTATCTAATATTTTCTGAACGATACCCAACATTTTTCTTCTTAAATACCTTTATAGTTTCAGTAGGCACTCCAGGCTCTGGAACTTTATCCAAGTAAGTAGTCAAGTCTTGATCCACATGTTCAAACACCAATGTTAACTTGGTCTCTCTGTCTGTTCGTGACACGGTGCACACATCAAACAATCTGAGAGGAGGGAAAGAAAAGAGGAGGTAAGTACACAGGAACCAGCACAGATACACCTTGGAGCTCACACATGTCTATTTAAATTTCCTACAGCACAGAGAACTAAAAAAAAGCTTTCCAAAGGTAGTGCAAACTTCAATCTCTTGATTCATCAGATAACTACTGATACATTGATAATGTGACCTCTTTCATGTAGGGATTATGATATCGGATTAAGCAAGAAGAATTCATTGGCTTATCAAATTAAAATAATTATATGAAAAGAAAGTATTTTCTTGACAGAGCAACCAAAGTTAATACAGAACCTGATCTGACATTTATCTATGGTCTACACTTCATCAACTGCACTCCTCAAAAAAAACAATGTAAGTAACATTTCTGAGGAAAAAAAGATACAGGTTGCCTGCACACACTTCAGTTTCTTCCCACATAACTCTCATGTTTACCATTATGTGCCTTTAGCATTAAATTTTCTTTGGTAGAAATTAAATATTTTTGCTGATTACTCCTGCAAGTTCCCAGAAGCAAGGAATACATTCAGAGTCAGGATACAGCTGAGAAAAAAGCTTTAGGCACAAGATGCCACTGCTAAAAAAGCTTTCTTTCATCACCTTCTGCCACTCTTTTACTGGAACTTCCTTATCATTTTACCATGTTGCACAACATCAAATTCAAACTCATTTTCAAAGCTGTTCATAATTTTGCATTCCTATCTCATTACTCTATTTTCTATTGTCTTCTTTTTTTAATTAGGATTTTTCTCACCTTCTTCACTTCATCTACTGTGCCAGGTTTTATCTTCTACACAGAATTCCGCCCATCCTTCAGTACTTCACACCTATTGTTGTACCACTGACCATCACATTCACCATCCTCCCTCAAGTCTCACTTCTAAAAAAAGTCCTAACAGGAAATCATCCCACAGATGGAAGAAAGCTGTTCCCTGCTCACATACTTTACTAATGTGTGTATTCACTTAGTTGACAAATTGTACAGACCAGTTTGCCTCTCTCTAAAGTAAGGCAGAAAATCAACCACTACTTTTATTAGGTGACAGTAGAGCTAAGAATATATATTAATACCATTATTACAAAGACATCCACACTGTTAAACCGAAGAACCTATCGTTGATAACAAATCAAAAGCAGTACTACTTATTTTGGTCAGCATCACTGAAGTCATATTCTTTTATTACACGTCTTTTATCCTCTTACACACAATAACTGCTCTTGTTTACTTTGTGGAAAGTGTAGGATTTCTGATAATTTTTTCAAGTAATATTTTTGTCTTTTTCCTAGGATTAAGTACTTTGTACGCAGGATCTGTAGACAGCAGATGACACTCAAAGCCCTGGGGGTCACTTTTAAAATGCGTCACCTGAGAACAGAAGAGGCAAGTACCTTGTATAGAGTTTTTACTTCTTATCTTAAATACGAGAATATTTCAGAAAGGAAGGGAAGATAAGAATTGGCAACACTATCTGTGAAGATAGATATCTGTGAAGATCAGTTTAAAAGAGCATTATGCTTCATTTGAGATGGTACAGATTTAACATGTTATGGCTCTGGTCCCATTTTAATAGCATTTCCTAAATAATCTTTGGTCAGACACTTGAAAATTGTTTATTAGACATTATGTTTTGAAAATGGATGCATGTACATTCCTTTTAGCCTGAAAGAGCCTTTCAGTGAGTAATAATTTGGGAACTGGAGTTACAGAATATGGAGAAACCATCGCCTTACCTCTTTCAAGAAAATGTAATCTGTGCATAATCTGTAATCATCACATGAATGAATATTTATTGAGTAATTATGGGAGCCTAATGACTGTTAACAGCACATTTCTCATACGGATATATAGTATTCTCTTTGTGACTCCCTTAATGCAGTGTGTATGGAGATGCCTGTACACAGTGAATCAGTTTTGTGGAGTCACAAACCTTCCTGAAAAGTTAAATTTGGTGTTATTTGGCTAGAGGTTAATAATCTGTAATATATTTATATAAATCAATGTGGAATGTAGTCGGACTGCCTATAACCCCAACACATGCAAATAGAGAGGAGCCAGACAGGTCTGAACATCTGAACATAAACACTGGAAAATATTTCCAACTGTATGATTTCTTTGTGTTGACCTACATTTACCTAAAAATGTTCTAAAACACCTCTTTCGCCTGGTATTTAATACACTGGCAAAATTATCCTTTCAACCACAGCAAAATTATAATTTGCTAAAAAAAAAAAGGAAAAAAGATTTCACTGTATACAATATAGAAGCAACATGAAACTTCCGACTCACTGCAGAAGAAAATGCTGATTCTCTGTTTAATTCTTCTGTGTTGTGCTTATTTTAATGCTGGCATTTTCTGACACAGCACAATTAGGAACTCTAAGGAGTGCAATTCTAGCCTTCTATTATTGAACCATAATACTATCACTGAGTAATAATATCTTTCCCTTTTATAAGCCATTATGTGAAACTCTAAATGGTCTATTGCTAATAAACCTGCATATCCTACATGGGGCTGGTTGGAAGCACATTGTGTTTACTCACAGAAAACATAGCTGTTGCCTTAAAAAGATAATAATTTAAAACATAACATATGAATCTGCAATATTACAAAAAGACAACATCTGGCACTGGCTGCCCTAATAATTTTGAAAATATGTAGGTCACTCCAAAAGTAATGCTTCCTATTTATTTCCAAGGAAATTACAACAGATACAAAGAGCAAAATAACTATTTGATAGAGCAGATTTTCAGCTACAAAATACTATTTTTCAACACAGTCACCACCATCAGCTACGCACTTTTGCTAGCAATGAATGAGAGCTGCATGCTTCGTTTGTATAAATCTGCATGGCTGTCCAGAACATGGCTTGTCTTTCATGTCAGTCATTGCTGCTGCACCGCCTACTGTGCTCATATCCACTGCTAGGACTCCATAAACATTAGTTAAGCATCGATGAAGATCAACGTGTGCAATTTTTCCCGCACAGAGGAATTCAATTCCACACCTTTATTTCATACACGCTTTCATGTCAGACACCACTCCTCCATGTCTGCTGCCCTCCGTCACATGGCAACAACATGTTACAGAATACTGGGAAAGTTCAATCTCTACTTCATAGCACCAACATCCACCTTTGATATCATGGGTCAATGTAATAAAACAGAAGACATTACTTTTGGAGCAGCCCAAAGAAGATTGAACAAGACAGCATCTTCACCAGATAGTGTCCATAGGGATCAAACTACTTTTCATAAATTATTTTATATCCACTATAGGAAACAATACACAGAATTGCCTTTTTTAGTTAGGCATACTTCTGTTGTGTGCACTGGTTATCTTTCATGCCATTTCCTCATGACTTTCTCTACGTGATGAGCCAGCTCTGTATGTCATTGCCTCTCCGGAACAGGCAACAGCAAAAGACTTTCTATTTAAAGAGTTAGGATGTGGACACTGTCCTAAGTGAAGTAAATGTACTTCAATTAATACAGGATTTCCATACGGAATTCTCTGTAAACACAAGCCCTGCCCTTCTATTGTACTTACAAATGAAATGATTGAATTATTTGATTAAAGTAAGATCCGCTATGGGAAATCCTGCAAGTATTTAACAAGATGTTTGGCTGGAAGTCATATATCGCCTGATGCGTTGAGCTGAACTAACACACTGTTCAACAGACATTTAATGAGTACCTATGTTTTAATGCATTTTTTCAGGTTAATAGTACTGAAGTTAAAAAGCTTATCAGCTACAAATCTGTATCTATTTTACAAAAATATCTTTCTTTTTCTGAATGTAGTAGACCAGATGATGCATCCTGAAGACCCTGTTATTTCTTACAAGTAATCTGGTAAATGCAATCCCAGTTCATCTTTATTTTATATCACAACATCTGAATGCTAAATGCTTTCAGCAGGAAAAAGGCAGTTTGCCAATTCCCTTGAAAACACGGCATATATTCTGACTGGTACTAATTTGCTAACAGCTTCTAGAAGGTCTTTCAGTGTTATTAGATTTGTTTTTGAGATGCTCTGAGAACTGCTATAAAGTTACCCATTTTCAAAAGGAATAAACATTTTTTTTTTCTGTGCAAACTGAGGCAGCAGAGATGGAGATCAAAACCATCAGGCTACCAGGCTTGCCACCTGCAGAGAATACCAAACAAGAGGTCTGACTGTAAGACCTGAAAAACTGCAGGACATTAGCTCCCTTGGTTACTCTCAAACAGATGAGTAAGTACAACTGGAAAATTAACCAGAGCATAAAGGGAATACTCGCTGCCAAAGCATCCAAAGGCTTATTGTTATTTTTATTGCAGTAGGGCTAATCCAACATGAACAAAGATCCTGTTACTTTGCTGGTCACTCACAGCACAGAACAAAAAGACATCTCTGCCCTCAGAAGTGTTTCAGTAATAGGGATTTACCATAATTTTCTTGGGAACAGTCTCTTCCCAGGAAGAATTGCTTCCTAGATTGTGTGTGACACAAAAAAAAAAAAAAAAAAAAAAGAAAAGAAAAAGAGAACTGGAGACGCTGAGAAGGAGAAATGTTTAAGATGTTTCCAGGTTTCAGAAATCTGGACAAAGACTTAGATGGGAAAGAGTTCAGTGGTCTCAGCATAACTCTGAAAGGTATTTACCACAAGACAGAAAAACATCATGAAATATGACAGTGTTCATGCAAACATGACAAAATTGGGATATCAAAACTACTACAGGTCATGACTGAGGTTTATTGACAAATATGTATGGGGCAGCCTGAAGAGCTTCTGCTTTCACTACCCGTGGCTCTGGTTAATCCTGCCAGTACATAATTTTGAAGTGCACAAGAATTTCAGCCTCTCATACCTAAAAACATTGAAGAATGACAGTCAGGCATCCTTTGGGTCCAAATTTCAGCAGCAGCCATAGACTCTTCTGTTCTCTGGAAGCCACTAGTCTGTAAGATCTGGCTCCTCACCACTTGGAAGCCCTTCATTCAGCCC